AAATATTTAAAAAATAAATAAATAAATAAACAATGAGAGATTAAAAAAAGATAAAAAAAGTTTTTGGACTTTTAGTATAGAGATATATTTAATTAAAAGATAAAGAGAGTTTTGAGGTGATAAATTTATGGGAAAAGTTATACTTATCAACTTTTTTTTTCTATAATAAAAGTATCATATTTGATTGTGATCCAATAATAAAAAGATTGATTGTAAGGGACGATTAGAAAAAAACGTGGTAATTATAATTTATCCCTATTAAATATACCAAATTTAATTAATTGTAAAAGATTTTAAATTTTGGGACCTTTAATTTCTTTCTGCCAAATGAGGAGGAAGTAGCCTATGACTGCCGCGGTACCACTTGCTGGGAGTATAATTCATCCTTTTAAATGGAATTACATTATTCGCCATAGGATATATCTGCACCTTTTTCTTTATTAGTATTATAACTTAGGGTATTATTCCCTAACCGCCGAAGACTAATCTCCTTGAGGTGTAAAGATTATCGAAGTGAGTTTTGTCTTTACCAACAAAGCTTTTTTTATATATACGGTCAGGAATCAAATCTCTGTCAGTATACTTAAGAGATCCAGTCTTTTCCATACACATTTTAATCGGTGTCTTCTGGACTCATGTAATGGGTTATTTGACTATTATAGGTAAAACCTCCTCTATAAATAAAGAGTTAAGTTTTACAGGCATATTTTTTAAAACTTTAATCTCTCTAACAGTTATTATGTACGCTATGTGCTACGGGTGTTCATCAACCGATCCAAACCGCGGTGACCGAATCGAAAATCGAAAAACCGAAAAAAAATTCAAACCGAATGGATGTTTATATGATCAAACTGAATAGATTTGGTCGGATGATTTTTGCTTCCAAAACCGATCCAATCGAGACCGCAAACACCCCTACCGACACACTTCCCTTCGCTCTTAACCTCTTGTTTGTGTATAGTAATATGCCATCACACATGGTTGTTTTCTCCGTAAACAAATAGCTTACAGATCTAATAGTAGTCCTAATCTGCTAGAATAAAACACAATATTTCTTAAATTAATTATCCAATATTCAACCTAACCTAGTCTTATATTATGATAAAATAGAGGAGAGATATTCTCACTACCAAAATTTTTTACTACCAACTTACTACCTATCTAATCACCATTAGATTAACATTTTCTCTCTCTTCAAAAACTTTTTAATATTCTCTCTCTTTGATCCAATGGTAATGTGATGAGTAATAAGTTACTAGTGAGAATTTTTGGTAGTTAGAATATCCTCGCTCGATAAAATAATATAAGTTTCAAATATAAAAATGGAATTATTTTATCAAACTTGATGTAAATTGCATAGAAAGCTGATAATCAGAAGTGAAGACATAGACAGTTGAATAAGAAAAACAAAGTGTTAATAGAAACAATTGGAAAAGGTACATGAAGATATCCAATTAAGGGAACAACTTAACACCAATCAATTAGGATATCAGTGCTAATGTCAATGAGGTACTTCCACAAATATTATGTGAGAAAAGTTGAAGGGAGCCTATATCTAATTTTAAAAAATAAACAACAACTAAACATAGCATATTCCCAGAAATGATAGCAATACCATTAAGAACATGACAGTCATAATAATGAATGCTGAAAGGCATCTTATTATTACAATAACTAAAAAGATAGGTGGGGAAGTGAGAATCCATTTTTTGTGGCTTTCCAAGAAGAAGAAGAACCAAATTCTTTACTTGAGAATATGATTTATGGGGCTTTAGTCTGAGTTAAGATTCTCATATTCTCATTCCAAAGAATCTTTGAAACTTTCTTTTTCCCTACTTTTCTTTTCTTTTCTTTTCCCTTTTCCCCGTGTGGAATAACATTCCGTGGTCATTTCTCACTTTGCATTTCAACCAACACCATCGTGTTTGCTCAACCAACTCACAACTAGTAACCATATTAACAAATGGTTTTTGCTTTTGATATGATTGACCACTAGTTTGCTTCTCATTTAAAGTTTGCTTCTTGCACTCAAAAGTATATCATCTATCATTCTATATATCTATGTTGATATAACATTTGTAACTTTTTATTTCCATAAAAAAAGAAAATGTAAGTATAATGAAGAATTAAAAAATATATGTATCTAGGATAGTTTTATGATTACATTATAAATACAAAGAGATTGCAGAAAATGGTCTAATGTAATTGTTAGTGTGGTTGCAATTCAGTTTTCAAAATCATCAAAATTGCAATATTTCGTTGCTGTGAACATTTGATACAGATAGATATCTCATAGGAACATTATTGTTATAATTAATTAAATTATTTTTAAATTCTTATTTTAGTCAAATCAATCAATGGCTTTCTGTGCAAGTAAGATTATTGTGAGCATGAAAAGAAATGATATATATATATTGATATGAAAGTGATAAGCCTGTACCAACAAATATTTCTATGTATGGTTAATTTCGATTGTATTAAAAACATTCATTCTTCATTGACACCGCTAAACAGAACCTCTAACTTGCGTAGTCAACAATGATGTAAAAACCAAACAGGCAATGCAAACACAGAGCTTCACCAACTAGCAGAAGCAACAAGGACAAGTAAACATAAAGGTTAATTCTCTTTATATTTTTCATTTGAAGCTGAAACCTCCTTTGATATTAATATTCAGAGGTATATATAGCTGTATATAGAAAAAAATCTGGGGCTATATGTTCATGACAGTGGTGGCTCAGTTGGTAGCATGGGGACTGAATGGTGGGAGAGGACCTCGGTTCGAATCCCACCAACACCATCTGGGGAGGGGCATAAGTACCGTAATCCTTGGACTCGCACCCGAACTCTGGATTAGTCCCATAGGCGGCTCAAAGAGTCGAACCCGTGGAGATATCGGGAGTTCTGATTCACCTCAAAGAAGTAATTAGGATCAGTTTCCAAAAAAAAAAAAAAAATTAAATAGCAGTAGTATTTTTCTGATGAATACTAAAATAAGAAAGTATTCATTGTATCACCAAGTAAATAGATCAACTGGTACGAGATTATTTTAACTTAATCAGTGGTCTCGTACAACACTGTTAGAAACTTGGTCCAATACTCGACATGAAACATTAAATTCAAAATATTTCACATATTTTGCATTGTTAATTATCAAATGTCACAAAATCAATTCTTTTAGCAGTGATGATAAGTTTCCCATATCATGATTTGGAGAATTTGCCAAGTGGTGGTATTAAGTCCATCTAAGGGAGCAAATTCGATATCAACATGAAAAAGTATCAACTAAATCCTCTTGCCCAAATTATTCCAATCCACATGCAAAAAACTACTAAGGAACTCAGCTTTAACTTTGAGAGATTCTCCTTCCCGCATTAAATATTCTCAAAAATCAGTATCAAGAACAAGAATAAGTAGTGATGTGAAGATACTGTTCAAGGAATCTTTGGTCTATTTATTTTTATGGTTAATATAAGTTCTGTACAAAATGTTGGTCTAATTATGCACCTGATTAATGGGTATCAGCATATCAGATACTGTTTATATATAAATAATCCTCTTCTTCTATCTGTAACTTCGGTCTTTTATGGCATATATAAAATTCATCAAGCATAAGCTTTTGATCTTTTAAATGCTTTCAAATTTAATCACCTAGTACTACCCCACTTACTCTTATTGTTCAATTAAAAATATTGTATTTCTTATTGAATAATGCAGATTTGCATTCAGTTGACACATACATTGCCTGTGGAATGCTTGGTTTAAATTAAAACTGAATCAGATTCTGATACATTCTTTAATTTTTTTTCTTAGTGGTTTAGCCTGTATATGCCATGGAGTTAGAGTTAGAGCTACAATAGGCCAAATCTACCATACATCCTAATCCCTTCATTGGCCAACAATAAATCATTTTCTGTTTAAGGCTTTCAGCAGTTTGCTATATAGTACTATATCATTTAGGTCTAAGCCTCTAAGGACATGATCAGCATGCATATGTAGTGAACATTGAACAAGTGAAAGTTCTACATGGATAAGAATAACTTGTACAGAAAATAAAAAAGCTGGCACAGAATCTGCTGCATTAACCAAGGTACAAGTCAAGGGCAAGTGGTCCTATGCTGTAGTACTGTATTTAACCAAACGTAAGTATAGAAGCAAGTACAATTTTTTGCTTTCCCTTTTAATCAGGTCCCTACTGCTCAGGATTCTAGAGGATGGGACTTGCATTTTTTGTGCCAAAGAAAGAATGAAAATTTCAGGGTCCACCCTCCTTTCTATTTTAAACGGTGGGGGCTGAATAAGTTCCAAACTTATGAAAGGAGACAAAATGGAACAAATTCCTATTCTATTTGCTAACTTCAAACAGTCCCATGCAAGCATCTTCCCACAATTTTATTTTATTTTATTTTTTTAATAATTTCTTGTATTTCAAGGTGCTCTAGTCAATGGAATCTTTTTAATAAATTCTTCATGTACAACTAATTAAGACGTTCCTTGGTGTCTCTATCTGCATACTTTAACATACATAACATTCAACCAAACCATATCTATCATGCTAAAAAGAACTATCCACTTTGAGGACTGGTAAAATAATCACAAGATCAAAATGAGGAACAAAAATATTTTTAGTCCTCTAACTTCTAAGAATCTTCCATTAGAACAAAGATAAAGGATGTGTTTTGGCAGCTCCAAGTCGAGAGGAATATCAGATTCCCCAGAACCAAGTCAGGGAAAAAAATATATGTATATATATATATATTCTCTTTCAAATTTGGGAATATGATTCCCACTTTTGCCAGGCAAAAGAATAAGAATGCAAATTTGGTTAAAATTTGAAGGATCAATTCTGGAACCTAATGCAGTTAGGAACTTGATATTTGCACCCCAGTTTTCCATTGGTTCCACCAAAGATTCCATGCGTTACTAGTTCCCCCCATGTTGTCATATATAACTACTGCTTGAGCAGGCTTTGCGCTGAAGAGAAATGTGTAGTAGAGAAACAAGACAAGCATCAAAAGTTGTCAAGGGTTCACTTATTTATTGCTATCAGGTCAAGTGATAATACTTTAAAATAGAGCATTATAGAGTTTCATCTTTCAAAGATAGCAAAGTGACTTAGAAAATAGAAGGCTTCAGGTAAAGGTGCAACTTGCCTTCAGCACATGTGGTTAAGTTGTTTGTTTTTAAATGTTATGGTGCTTACACATGGCTTTTTGCAGGTAGAATGTACCATCATCATCAACACCAAGGAAAGAACATTCATTCTTCTTCAAGAATGTCAATCCCTTCTGAGAGGCATATGTTCCTTCAAACCGGAAGTGGGTCTGGTGATTCTGGACTTGTTCTGTCAACTGATGCTAAGCCTAGATTGAAATGGACACCAGATCTTCATGCCAGGTTTATTGAAGCAGTGCATCAGTTAGGTGGAGCTGACAGTGAGTACAATATACACATCCACTTGTGGTTGATCAAATCTTGAGGAAGATAGAATTTTTTTAAAATTAATTGACTTATTCATAGTACAAACTTTCTAATGCAGAGGCAACTCCAAAAACAGTGATGAAACTCATGGGAATTCCAGGGCTTACCTTATATCATCTAAAAAGTCATCTTCAGGTAAAATTCATTAGTCATCTGTATTATACCATTTAATATTACACCCCCCCAAATAATAATGATAATAGTAATAATAAATCAGGGAATAGGATGCCTGAATTTTTGTTTCAATTATGATATTGTAAATATTTCATTTTTAAGATTTGCATACCACACGAATCAGAACGTGTGTCACATTAAGAAAGTCATGTGCAAACATGATCTTATTCCTCCTTCACCATATATAGTCAATCATATTCCCAAAATTACTTCAATACAATTTTACAGGCTTTGTATATAATATTCTTTTGCTAAATTATATTTCATATACCTGCTAAATTTTATTGTCTGATGCATCATATAGAAACTGCTAATTTGTTATGCAAAGAAATAAATATTTTTATATATAATGTGCACAAAGCTGTAAAAGCAGTATAGCTCTCTGAGCTTTACTTGTATGATACAATTACTGATCTTTTCCTTTTTGACTCCAGAAGTACAGATTGAGCAAGAATATGCATGGACAAAGTAACAATGTGACACACAAAATCAGTAAGAGAACAATCTCTTCCATTATATATAATCTATCTACTTATGTACCACAAAGCTTTGTTTATGAACAACAAACTTATCTTACTAGCCACAGATCCAGGTCCAGCAACAGGAGAAAGACTCTCTGAAAATAATGGAACTCATATGAACAATTTAAACCTTGGCTCTCAGTCTAACAAGTGAGTAACTACTCATTTGCTTTTTATATAATATGAACATTCTATCAAGGTTTTTAACTAACATTCATTGTCTTTGTGGCAGAGATTTACACATAAATGAGGCACTGCAGATGCAGATAGAGGTGCAGAGAAGGCTAAATGAACAACTTGAGGTGTGTGATATCAACTTACTATGCATGCATTTTTAATCTCATCAACTAAAACACTGATACAAACTAATGATATAAATCTTTAACCTTTTTGACACCTCTAAAAGTTTTCTTAAATTCCAACCTCTGACCATGTCCAGGTGCAAAGACTCTTACAGCTCCGGATAGAGGCCCAAGGAAAATACCTGCAAGCTGTGTTAGAGAAAGCTCAGGAAACACTTGGTAGACAGAACTTGGGAATAGTAGGACTTGAAACTGCTAAAGTTCAACTTTCAGAGCTTGTGTCCAAAGTATCCTCTCAGTGCCTGAATTCAGCATTTTCAGAACTGAAGGAATTACAAGGGTTTAGTCCACAACAAACACAAAACAACCAGCCTAATGACTACTCCATGGACAATTGCCTCACATCCCGTGAGGGATCAGAAAATGAGCAAGAAATGCAAAATGGGGGGATGAGCTTAAGACCCTTCAATGGTCATACATTCATGGAAACAAAGGAAGTCATAGAGGCTCATAATCCCAACCTACGGAACTCTGAGATCAAATGGTGTGATCAAGGGAAAAAGAACACTTTTCTTACCCCATTAGGCAAGAATTCAGAAAGAAGAAGTTATGTTGTAGAAAGAAGTCCCAGCAACTTATCTATGAGCATTGGGGTTGAAGGAGAAACAGATGGTGAATTCCAACAGCTAAGCACCATTAGGAAAGAATCAATGAAACCAGGGACTGATAAAGTTTCTCAAGATTATAGATTGCCTTCTTACTTTTCAACAAGACTGGACCTATCCACTGAAGATAATGACGCTGAAACGAGTTGTAAACAACTTGACTTGAATAGATTCAGTTGGAACTGAAAGGCTAAGACACCAAGTAGAGAATGGACAAAGCAAATACAGAAAACAAGGCCACTACAATTTCTGATTCAGTCATTAGTGAAAGATATATGTCAGAAACAATGTATTATTATTACATTACAATATTTATCTTCTGCTCTTTTTTCAGCTTAAGTGGCCACTGGCTGCTAGATGAGTTATTTTTAGTAGAACGCAGGTTGCAACTAACAAAGATCAACGATCACTTTGTTGTAAGCAATCATTATGATTGAGATAACTCTAGCGAAATATCGTTTTATTCTAAGCTTGTTCAACGTTTAAGACATGCATGCCTGATATATTTGACGCATGTCACATGAAATAGCATGCATTATCCTCGTCTTGCATGGAATATTTATCACAAGCATTCAAATTATTTTTACTACTGTGGGAGCTGTAACTATTTATAAATACATTTACTCGTATGTTATATAAGAGGTAGGATCTTTGACACCAGTGTTGAATTTAAAGTTTGACACCTCATAACTTATATGAGAGTCGTTAGATAAAAAAAGATCAATGGTGTCACATGCTTAGTAATCAGAGTCGTTGAACTCTCAGACGAAGTGTCAAATTTCAAATTAAGGATCCTACCTCGTTAATTCAGGCGTCTAAGAGATGATGTAATAGAGCATGATTAAGTAAAAATTCTCGTGTCCCACTCAAATTGGTATTTGACAATTGTGGAGCTATAATAGAAATATACTTATCTTTAAAAAAATTCATATATTAAATAATAATTTTAAGTACCTAAAAAATGGTATAGTATACCTAACTAACTATGTGTTTGGATTTATGTTTCCATATCTCAAACCCCAATTTAGTGAACACTTTTTCCTTGAGAAACACCTTAAGTTTGTGGCTAATGCGTGAAAATTTGTTATAGCTAACAAGGTGATCTAGATCTTACTTACGCGAGATAATAGGCCCAACCAAAGGTAGGCCTAATAAACCCAAAAGACCATTGCTTGTGTAGGGATCTCGCAACCTCCTGACAAATACAACTAGCGGCTCTAACAATAGAATCATGCGACATCAGTTACTTAGAACAACTTGACCTCTACGTGAACCAATAACTGAAGGACAGCACCTCATTCTGCGACATTAGCCTGACTATAGGCATCTCGCCCACAAAGTAGCTTGTGAAAGCTATCATCCTCCTCCAATATGAATGAATACCGCCATATAAACTATAAAGGCGGCAAAAGCAAGACACCTCTTCACTATAAATACAAAGACATTAAGCCGAGTATGATCATTTATCCATCAATACTTGAATACCTTGAACTCATACTGACTTGAGCGTCGAAGTGTCTTGTAGGTACACCCCTCAATCTCCTCAAACTGCCCAAAAGCACCTATACCAGTTCGACTATCTCGCAGAGTATCTCGCCAACAACCCAAACATCTCATAAAGAACATCTCAGCTCAAACATTCACCAACAGTAACAGGATCAACCATATATGATCTAGCCCAATAGTTATTTAACTTAGCACAAAACAAGGCTTTTTTATGATAAGTCAACCATATTCTCTTCTAGATTTTAGGTTTTGCATGAGATATATTCATATACAAATTCAAAGCTCTATAACTAGTTAAGGAAGACTTATAGGTCGAGTCTTCAAAAATCCAGCTACAAGTGACAATTTTGGTTGGCCTAAAAATTTGCCTAATATGTTAATTATGCATGCAAATTATTCTTCCTCCTGCTTTAGCCTTCTATTCTTTCTCCATTTATCACACACACCCGAATGACAAAATAAGATTCCTAAAAACAAATAGAAGTACGAATCTTGCTTAGCCAAAAAAAATCAAGCAAGAAAAAAAAGAAAAAGTATTTGCTTACTAAAACTTATGTTTCGTCTCCTCTTTTCTCTTTCTTCTAAAATTCTTCATATTTCTGCATTTTTCTGTCAATCTCTGACATCCATGTGCACCCATCAGTAGAAAGAAGGCAAATGGAAGAATAAAAAAACCAAAACATAAGCTCAATCTTGAAGAATATCCAGCAACTAGCCATTGTTAAGCGCAAATAATTTACCTCCTCATCAATCTATTTAGCTGATTAATTCAACTATATATGTGATAGTTAATCTGCATTAAGCAATATTAAAATCAATACCCTCATGCTCTATCCCCTGCTAACTTTGTGCTACTTCTAAAGAAAAAGATACGCAAAAGTAGAATTACTCTATCATAACTGTAATGTCCCACATCGGTTGGAGAGGGGAACGAAGCATGCCTTATAAGGGTGTGGATACCTCTTCTAGTGTGAGGCCTTTTGTGGGGTGTCCCAAGAAACAAAACCGTGAGCTCGACGGTGCTTGTGCGCGGGGCAAAGCGGACAATATCATGCTACAGGGTTTGGGGTTGTTATATTTGGTATCAGAGCCTGGCCCTGGACCGGTGTGTACAGCGGGGACGTTGTATTCCCAGTGGGGGAGGATGTAATGTCCCACATCGGTTGGAGAGGGGAACGAAGCATGCCTTATAAGGGTGTGGATACCTCTTCTAGTGTGAGGCCTTTTGTGGGGTGTCCCAAGAAACAAAATCGTGAGCTCGACGGTGCTTGTGCGCGGGGCAAAGCGGACAATATCATACTACAGGGTTTGGGGCTGTTACAATAACAATGACTACTCCTGATCATAGAGCCATAAATATGGTATTTAGTAATTGCCACAGTGAAAGAAAATTATAATACCCAACTATAAATGTTTTTCACTATAAAGGATGTGAACTTGCAAAATAAGATTTTCTTTCACCCATTGTAATTTGCTTTCAAAACTAGTCAAAGTCAAGCATTTCTTCTTACGATGAAATGAAAATTTATATATTACTTACAGGATATTGTAACAATCAAGTTGTGTTACTACCAATCAATCTCACCGTTAGATCGATTATGTTGATCCAACGGTTATATTTATTTCCATCTTTGTATGGTCATGATTCCCCATATTTAAAGTGAAAGCATTAAATATGGTAAATCATAACCATACAAAAGTGAAAATAAATATAAAGTATTAAATTTGAGAAATCATGACCATACATAGATGGAAATAAATATAACCGTTGGATTCACATAATCGATCTATCGATGAGATTGATTGGTATAATAACCCATCTTAAATTATTAGTAAATCAAGTGTAATTAATTAATTAAACATGTTTTAGTGAGTGAAATTAAGTATAAGGCTTAATTAAATGAATCTGAGTCACTTTGGAGTTAAAAAGTGTACTCAGTGAAAATTAAGGGGTATAAATGGGTACTGACGAAAGTGCCCAAAATATAAAATAAAAATAGTAATATTCCTAGAATAATATTCCAGACTTTTGGGTAAAGTTTGGTAATTATTGGAGTTGAATAGATAGATGAACCAATACCCGCTTAAAGCCACTTAACCAATGTTAAGTGACTAAAAGCCAAAAAAATGAGCCCCAAACCCCCACTTTCCCGTCGACAGAAACAGAGAAGAAAGGAAGAAGAAGGAGAAGGAGGAGAAAGGGAGAGAGAAGAAGAGAGAGAGGAGGGAGCAAATTCCAACGGTTTTGGGTGATTCAAAAGCCTAAATCGCTTAGAATCTCGCCCTCTTTCATAATCCAAGCTTAGTTTTAAGTGGGGAGCTTTGTGTGGTGAGATATTGGCTCTCAAAAATTCGGCTCTTTGGTGAAAATTGGGGTTTTGAGAGTTTCTACCTCCATTGAAGCTTGAGGAGCCATCAATCCTTGGTTGTGTGACCATTGGTGGTAAGATTCTAACCCTTGAACCATGTTTTCTTGGAAATTTCATGATATAGGGTTTTGAATGAATAGTGTTATGGGTTTTGTGAGAATTGAGTAAATTAGCTATGTTCTAGGAAGAATGGAGCTTAGAGCATGTTGTGAAAAATGCTAGGAACGACATTTAACCGGTGAGAATGAGCTTAGATAGCTAAATGAGTATACTTGTAAAATGGCAAGAATATGATGCTTGATATAATACCCCAAACTTAAGCATTTAATTGATTAAATTTAATTAAATAATTAAGCATGTTTTAGTGAGTAAAATTAAGTATAAGACTTAATTAAATGAATCTGAGTCACTTTGGAGTTAAAAAGTGTACTCAGTGAAAATTAAGGGGTATAAATGGGTACTGGCGAAAGTACCCAAAATATAAAAATAAAATTATAAATATTCCTAGAATAATATTTCAGACTTTTGGATAAAGTTTGGTAATTAATGGAGTTGAATAGATAGATGAACCAATACCCACTTGATTCCACTTAACTAATGTTAAGTGACTTAAAAGAAAAAAAGAACCCAAAACCCTCCCCATTCCCGTCGCCAGAAAGAAGAAGGAGGAGGAGGAGAAGAAGAAGAAGAGGGAGAGAGAGAGAGAGAACCCTAGAACCTTGAGTTCTTAACCATTTTGGGTGATTCAAAAGCCTAAACTACTCCAAATCTTCCCCTCATCACTAATCCTAGCTTGGTTCTTAGTGGGGAGTGTTGTGTTGTGAGATATCCTCCTCCAAAAATTCGGCCATTGGAGAAATTGAGGTGTTTGAGAGTTTCTACCTCCATGGAAGCTTGAGGAACACTCATTCCTCTATTGTGTGATCATTGGTGGTAAGTTTCCACTCTCTTTCACATGATTCTTGGAGATTTGCATGAGTTTAGGGTTAATGAATAGTGTTTTAGGGTTTTTATGAAATGTTGAGTAGATTGGCTATGTTCAAGGAAGAATGAGGCTTAGAGTATGTTGCGAAAAATGCTAGGAATGACATTTAATCGGTAGAAATGAGTTTATAGTGTTATTTTAGTATGCTTTGATGTTTGGAGAAATCTAGGCTTGGAACTATGGATTTCCTTGCATTGTTAGCATTGTTTGATTGTATTCCTTGTGTTGATAGGATTGAGGCAAGAGGACCAAGTGGAGTGACCAACCCTTGGGGTTGTGTGCAATTGAGGAAAGCTCAAAGAGCAAGGTAAACCTTTGGACCTTGTGGTTGATCCCATTGAGTGTTCCACCATACTCCGTTGAGGAGAAATGGTTTATGAGATGTGATATGTAATTATGATAGTGATTGTATGCTCATGCATTGATTCATGCATTGATACATGTTATGATTGATTGATGATTATTGGTTGATGTTTGATTGTTTAAGAGTAATTGAGGAATGATTATAGAAGTAGCAATAATGAATGAGGTAATGGTTGAGGATTGTGATTGAGGTTATGAGTGATAGTATTATGATGAGGATGAT